AAATCACTTATATTTTCACTAGCAGGTATATCACCTTCTAATAATTGGGTGTATAGTCTTCTAGATATTTTCTATATCTACATATATATAAACATGTACCTTTTCTTAAATTATTTTGTAAACTGATTTAATACTTGACAAGATAGCATGAAAATTTTTCTGTCATTAAAGTAACTAGGAAGAGTAAGCATGGAGTTTACTATACGCCAGGCACCTGACTAAGCATTTAATTTAATTTAATTTAATTTCTAATCACAATTTGTTTTGTGTTCATCCTTTTCTAATTGCACTTTATTTAGGGTTCTCTCTGTCTCTCTTTTAGTCCATCAATCTCTTCTTTTTTTAGCTTTCTCCTATCCCTGGTTATAATGAAATGAAGCACAGTTGTTATTTTCCCTTTATAGACCCAGCATTATACATATTAACCCATGCAGTGCTTGTAACAGTGCTACATGCTGAGTAATATGATTACTCTCACTTTATAGATTTAAAACCTGAGGCATAAACAGATTAGATCATTTGCCTAAGGTCACACAGCTAGTAAGTGGCAGAATTAGGTTTTGACCCTAGACAGTTTAGCTGTGCTCTTGACCACAAAGCTGTAACTCGAACTATTATCTTCATGGCTAAGTACATGATAATTGTTTAACTGCTCCTTCTTTCTGTGCTGTTAGGTTTACTCTTATGCAGAGATCAGCAATGAACACCTTGATCATATATATGTCTTTGCATATATGTTCAATTACTACCTTAGGCTAGATAACCATAAATAGAATTGCTGAGTCAAAAAGTTGACACATTTTTTTTTAAGGCTAGATACATATTAGTCAACGTTTTTAAACAATACAATGTCTAAGCCTCTCTGATCCTTATAATTCATCATCCCTTTCTAAAAATGCAAAACTATCTTCTGGGGTCACCAATATTTATTTGTTTGTTTGTTTACTTATTTTTGAGACAGACTCTCACTCTGTTGCCCTGGGTAGAGTGCTGTGGCGTCATAGCTCGCAGAAACTTCAAACTCTGAGGTTCATGTGATCCTCTTGCCTCGGCCTCCTGAGTAGCTGGGACCACGGGTGCCCACCACAATTCCCACTGGTTTTTCTATTTTTAGTAGAGACAGGGTCTCGCTCTTGCTCAGGCTGGTCTCAAGCTCCAGAGATTAGGCGATCCACCCACCTCGGCCTCCTCTGCAGCTTCTCACTTTATTTCCCTACCTTCCTTCTGCGCTATGCCCAGTTCTGTAAAATGTTTAGCAAGACAGCACATTTTCACGAAGCATTATATCTTCTGTTGTCAGTATATCCAGTACCTTGCATCTCCTAAACTTTACCTATTAGCGGGGGGTGTGCGGAGATGGCATGCTGCCCCCCAACTTGACTTAAAGATAAATTTTCATGATACTAATTTTTTTCTTTTCTCCGTATGATTTCTTTCTTTTAAGTTTCTCAAGAACTGAAATAACAAGTTTACTACATACTCATTTTATTTTCTTAACTTCAACATACATAAATTCAGGGAGACTGCCTGACAGGAATGAATGATGTGTCAGAGATCAGAAAGTCAAGGCTCCCACCTCTGCCTCTGCCTTGTTTTATGACCTAGAGGACATCACTTAATCATTCTGCATTTCATTTTCCTTATTTGCCAAATGAGGTGAGGTGAACTCAATGACTTTGAAAAACAATTTCAGGATTTTTTAAGACGTGACAGGTCATCTAAGAGTAAAGTTGATCTTTAAAAAGTATTGTGTGACATTGGGGCAAATAGTGTGTATGTTTGGGGAGGGGGAAGGTAAGGGGAAATGGAAGATTTATTTCATCTTATTAAGAATATCTTGTGCTTTGTCACTTGAGCAAGGCCTCTTAACAGCGTGCTTTAGTGGTTTGTGAAACGTATCTCTAAGGCCCAGGTAATTATAGTTGTTCCACTGAAGCATGACAAATGGTCTCGCACTTTGAATTCTTCTACATGGGAAAGAAAACCCTTCCATGACAACAGCACTGGAACTTAATTACAGGCTGCAGATCTGGGGACAAGAATTGAGACAATCATTGGCCACAGTGGAGAGAAAAGACAAGAGCCAGAGCCCGCCCTGGAAGGATCAGGACAGGGTGATGTCACAATAATAATCATATGATAGCACTAGTGAGGCTTTCTCTTTGCCAGGTGTTGCCCCAAGAATTTATATACACTAACTCATTTCATTCCCAAGTGCCTCTAAAAGACAGGTTATGAAGTAGATGATCTTTTTTTTTCCAGCCTTACAAAGATGGGTATTGGGGAGCTCTTAAAAAAAGCTGGATAATCCATGTTGAGTTATGGAGCCATAGTTGTCAGGGGTAGGAATCCAACCTTGAGAGTTCGTTCAGATATTTAACACAAGTTTTTGTTTTGTTTTGTTGCGTGCCTGCTGTATGCCAGGCACCCTTCTGAGGGCTGGCAATGCCAAAGTGAATGACGTAAAATTCTTGCTTTTATGGAGTTTAGTCCCTGGTGGATGGGACTAGTCAAAATAAGGCAAGGAATAAATAATAATTTCAGATGGCAGTAAGTGCTCTGAAGAAAACTAAGGTCTCTGTTAGGAGAGTGACTGGAGTATGGGGAAGGCTACTTTGTATAAGGCTGGCAGGGAAAGCCCCAGGAAGGTGACCTCAAGCTGAGCCCCATGAGATGGAACAGGTGAGCCAGGCAGAGACCTGAGGGAGAGCATTTTCCGTGGACAGCCCCTAAGAGCAAAGGTCAAGGGACTTGAAAGAGCCTGGCTTGTTCTGGGAACAGAGAGAAAGCCAGTGTGGTTGGATGACAGTGGGAAAGGGCAGGATGTTACAGCGGAGTCAAAGAGGCAGGCAGGCCCCCAGGGACTCAGGACCTGTCAGCCACAGAGGGGTGTTCACATCTCACTCCACGTGCAGAGGGAGGACACTGGAGCATTTTATGCAAGGGAGTGGCCTGATCTCCCGTCTTCACAGGCGGCTTTCTTCAGCTTCATGTTACATTGCCAACAAGGAGAGGAATAAATTGTTGATGTAACCTGCAGGGGCAGCCTAAGTCCAGGGAAAGTTAGGGCTGGTGTTTCAGATGAAACAAAGCTCTGGGTTTTTTACAGAATAAGACTGAGCTGGACAGTGAAGAGTCATCTAATCTAAAAGTCTAACTTTGGGTAGGAAGAATTTAGTCGATCCGTAAAAAGACTGACTCCTCTGTGTCTGGGCCTCAATCTATGGAGAGCAGAGCTCTAGGTTGTGAATATCCGTGACCACTTCTAGGTCGTGGCTTGTGCTTACTTCGTAGACTAAATCTCATGCAGAATAACAAGAGATGGCTTTGTGTAGGTGGGTGGCATCTCAGGAATTATTACATTATCTGTGAAATCTATACTGTGTGTGCATGTGTATGTGTGTGTGTTTATCTTTGAAAAAATATTTTTGAAGATGTCACCATTTTCACATAATGCCCCTGGATTTTTTGATAAGGTGGCATTGTATAGATGGTTCTAGAAATGTATTGTCAACTAAGCTATTTGATTTTTTTCTTTGAATATTCTTTATAAACAAACGCTTATACTAAACCCACTAAAATCAGTTTATGTCATATACAGGATGAAATTAATTGTTTCAGTTAAAAGCTCAGTATTCTAAAACATTGTCCTCTTACTTTGACGGAAGTATTAAGTTAACGATCACATTTACTCAGCAAACTCAGTTTGAATGACACCATAAGCGATCACTAACGCACTGTGTTTGTATGTGTGCCTCTCTGTTCTGACTATTCACATGTAAGTTTATGACAATTCAGGCCCAACAATATACATCCATTTGTAAGGAATGACCTTGGAAGGCGTTCAGTTGAACATCCTGATACAGGGCACCCTAGAGGGCGAGATGTTAATTGTGGAAGAATTTCATTTAAGCTGTGCAGTGCAATTAAGTAGGACTTGGGAAAATTTACCACTCTTGATTTCGTTTTTATTTATAACTACCCTATTTGTTTCTCTAGGGTGTGTGTGAAGGGGAACACTCTCAAAATGCGCTCCAGCATGAAGTCAGAAAAGAATAACAGAACAGGAACACGAGCACCAGGGCAATCTAAGGACAGGCTGTGGGTTGCCCTGGGGTTGTAGGATGAGAAAAATAGTTTCCTTATCTAAATGGGCTGAATTAGAGGACATGTTTATGGTCTCCCTCCCTCAACATTCTGTGCTTTGAGGAAAAGAACTTTTCTGCTGGCTAATTAAGCAAGAGAATATTTTCCCAAGGCCTGATAGCCATGAGCTCAGAGGACTCTAATAGCTCCATGCGCCTTATAAATTTAGCTGTTGGCACGAGGATGGTTGAGTCAACCTACCGAGCAGACTTTCTTCTATTATCTGTTTCCTAGGCTGATGAATAACAATCTCACCCTCTCCATTTAGTTGTAACTCTTTCACTCTGACACGTCAGATTGCTGAGAGGTTTCTGGAAATTTTCGAAGTCACACATTGGAGTTAATTCAAGGAGATAATGCAATTCCAATTGAATCATCAGTGTCTCTGCTGTCAGACTGAGTATTTTAGTAGTTCAGTTGGTTGAGTTGTGCAACTTGCCAATTTGAGTCTTGCCCTCAAGTCTTAATAAATGGGCTAAAGGCCTGATTGGACATTGTGAGATAAATTATATGTTTTTTTAATGCCAAGTTAAATAAATACTGTTTGGAAGGATTACTAGAGGGTACAATCAAGTTAATTGCTTCAAAACTCTTTATTTGATTTACTGGGCTCTATGAAAATTATTAAGCCATTGATTCTGTCACAGTAAGTGATCTGAAGAAAGTGGGGCTGGGTCCACAAGGTTTCCAGGCATGTCCCTGCCCTCATGCCCAGACCCACCCCACAAACGAGCAAAGTCCCCCAGGACAGGAATGCAAGTCCTGCTGCCAGACTGTTGTTCCCCCCGAGGAGAAGACACCTGTTCAGTTTGATGCTCAGGCTGACAGATTGGTTTCTTTCTTTTTTATTCTAGATGCTGAAGAATACCAGCCTCCAATATGGAAATCGTACTGTGAGTACCTGAAGTGAAAATCTCCTCAGAAGTCTTCACCAGGCCTGCCTTTGGGAACAATTCTTGCCCTTGGTGTAGTGCATACAAGGTCCCACATCACAGTGCTGAAAACCCAGATCTCTCTTTTTCCACTAAGGAGAGAGAGTGGTCAGAAAGGATTAATTCAGCCCCTCTCCCTTGACTAGTATCTCTAAGAACCAGCTGCTGGCGACCCTGCTCAGGAATGCTTGGAAAAGGGAAGCACACATTCTGACTCTCTGCTTTTCAGTTTGAGGCTTTGTTTTTATTTTACTTTTTTGCACAGTTGGTTGGCATTAGGAGTTCAAGACCAGCCTGAGCAAGAGGGAGATCCTCCTCTCTACTAAAAATAGAAAAACTAGCCAGGCATCCTGGCAGGTGCCTATGGTCCCAGCTACTTGGGAGGCTAAGACAAGAGGAATGATTGAGTCCACGAGTTTGATGTTGCTGTGAGCTGTGACACCATGGCAGTCTATGCAGGGTGACAGAGTAAAACTCTGTCTCAAAAAAAAAAAAAAAGAGTGAATGTGTTGACTTCTATGATTTATGTTCTTGGCCGATTATCCTAAAACTATGATATTAGATGAGCATTAACTGCTGAAATTTTTTTTCTTGAGACAGAGTATCAATATGTTGTTCTCAGTAGAGTACCGGGCGTCACAGCTCACAGAAACCTCTAAGTCTTGAGCTTAAGCAATTCTCCTGCCTCAGCCTCCCAAGCAGCTGAGACAATAGGTACCAGCCATAACGCTTGGCTATTTTTTGGTTGCAGTTGTCATTGTTGTTCAGTAGACCTGGGCCGGGTTTGAACCCACCTGCCCTGGTGTATGTGGCCAGAGCCCTAACCACTGAGCTATGAGCCTAACTGCTGAAAAATTAACAGAGTGAAGAATGATGTTTGGTCACTAGGGATGACTCCCTAGAAACAGAGATCATATCTGATCATCACTCAGCTGCCTCACAAAGGTGGGCTGTTGTCATTGCCTTGAACTTGTTTCTTCTCTCCTTACTATCATCTTCTCTCCTGACTCAGCAGTTCTCCACTGAGAGAAGGACATTGTGGGGTAGGATAGACCCACTGTGTCGATAGCCAGGGGACAGCCAGTTCTGGTTCAGGCTCAGTAATAAGAATAATCATTGCTGCCACTGAGACCCTCTCCTGTGCCCGCCACTGCACTAAGCAACTGCATCTTAGATTCTCACCACCGCCCCAACACACAGCTGCTATTATTATCTCCATTCACATATGAGGAAACCACAGCTCACGAAGCCTGAAGGACTTGGCAGAGATTTCACAGAAAGTGGTAGGGTGGCTTTCAGAGTGGAACCCAGAAGCACCTGACCCACAGCCCACAACTCTCCAAGACTCCTCGTATTTAAAACTTCATACAAACATACAGGCTCGGCACCTGTGGCTCAAGTGGCTAAGGCGCCAGCCACATATACCTAAGGTAGCGGGTTCGAATCCAGCCCCGGGCCCACCAAACAACAATGA